TTTTGACCAAAAAACAGACGGTAAAATGTAAACTTAAAAAAAAAAAAAAATGGAAAGTTCAAAATACTCAGGAGATTAAATCAGAAGATAAAAAAATGTAAAGATTTAAACCCTTATTATTTTTCAGTGTTTAAACAGTTTTAAAAACATCTGACTAAAAATTTTAAAAAACACTTAATCAACAGAAGTCTCGGTTACTTCCCGTTTACGGTCGAAATGTTTGTTAATTTAACCTTTAAATAATTATTCATCGTTTTGTTTTTTAAACTTTAATCAGCCAGAAATTCATATTTCAGCTTCAGCTAAATTTAATCAATCAGGTGTTTGTTTTTTTATGACAGATTAAATTACATCAGAGACAAAACTGTTTCATGCAGTTTTGTCTTTCTGCCACCAGAGGGCAGCAAAGGACCGAACAGATTTCATCAACTGTACTGAGACCAGTCTTTGTCTCGAGACTAAGATTTTAAATCAAGACCTCCACTGATCGGCTATTTTTACAAGTCAGAAGGAAAACTCCTCTTTTTAAAAGAACAAATAACTTCAAGTAATTTGTAGGATTTTTATCCCCCGGTTATGGAAGCAACCTTCCTGGTGTTACGGTGAGTGACACGCCCCCTGAACACAAGATGATGATTTTTCAGTGATATTTATGATCTTGTCTCGGTCTCGAAGCACTCTGGTCACGGGTTCGTCTGGGTCCTGGTTAGTGTGATCTTGACTACAACACTAACGACAGGTTTAAAAAACAAACACACGTTGCCGCGTGATTAGTTCACTCCCCATGTACAGAGGACTTAGTCCTCAAAGTGGGCGGCCCGGGTCCGACCTGTAGCTCCTTTCCTGCACGTCTCCTCCGTCCTGTCTCTACAATAAAAATAAACCTTTAAACAAACAAGAAAATACGACATGAAGTGTTTTCAGTTTTTTTTTTACTCTCACTGGACGATAAAATGTTCAAATCCAAACTCTGCAGCTCGATCATGATCACAAAGCATCAGAAAGACGTGACGTTACACTCGTTGGGGCTCGAACCAGCAGGCCGAGGATCCAACTACCAATCACAGAACTACAGAGCAGCCGATTCAGAACATCATGACTCTTGAGTGACATGTTCAGGAGCGTCAAGCTGACATGATGTTGACATGAGTCCAAGTGGAGAAACGCTTCCTCGATAGCTCATCTGCAGCTACTCCTCTCTTCCAAACGTTTAGTTCTGGATGTTTTTGTTCATCTCTGATGAAACATGATTCTTCTTCACATAGAAAAATGAACCTGCAGCTCCTCCGTCAAAGAGTCTTTAAAATAAAAAACGTTTGAAATGTGACTCCTGACAGTTTAAAAAGGATTCAACTTAAAATAAAAATAATTTTCTGTTTGTTTCTAAATTATCGACAGGTGGGCGTCAGGTAACGGGTGAAACATAAACGTGTTTAAAATAATAAAAAACGTGTTGTTTTTGTGACGAGATGTGGAGAAGGTCAGCGGGAGAGCAGTGGGAGGTCACTAGAGTTCATGATGAGGCTGGAGTCGAGGTTCAGACTCTCTGTGGAAAAAAAACAAACATTTTAGATTCAAAAGGTCAAACTGAGGCTCTGAAAGGGGTCGTCAGTCTTCAAAATGTAAACATACTTAATGATACTGCAAGATTAACACGATCTCCTGTTTCTGTGATTTGAGTAAATGTTTTCTTTTGACTGAATTTGAAATGTTTTTATGTTCCGAGTGTCAAAATAACTTCTGAGAGATTACAAAGATGTTTCACAAAGTGAGATGAATGATTCAGGACGAGCAGATGAGTGTCGGCCAATCAGATTCATGTTTGTTTGAATAGAGCTCAACAGTTTGGTTCCGGAAGTAAAAATCCTGTTTGTTTCCTCCATAGTGGATTTAATTATTAGCGATGATGTCATAACTATCAGAGGTAGACAGACCACGAGCTACCTGAGGGTGAAACGATGGTTGATGCTCCTGTAGGAGACACAAGATCGTCTGATATCAACCTCGCTTAAACAGAAACACGGTTTATTCACGGGGAAGTCGGGGAAAGAACTACACTACCCACAATCATGGAGTGTCACAGCAACGTCTCTGATTGGTGGAGCTCGCTGATACCATGGCAATGTTTCTACAAGACATTACAACACGTGTATTAAGAGTATAAACACGATAACGACTACAGTCATATTTAAGAAGAGGGATCATTTGCAATGCATTGTGGGATGGGTAGTTCCTTGACTCCAGAACAAAAACATGTACACAGTCTTGTCCCTTTGCCCTTCTTCTCTGTTTTTTAACGCTGAATCAAACATAACTATAGTCATGAGTATTGGTGAAGCTGGTTGTCATGGTTACAGGCTTCAATCTCCATGATATAAGGATTTTGTAAAATGTCAACGGAGGATCTGAATGGGGGAATTCAATTCCAGAACCAGAGCAGACGGTAAAGTGGGCGCTCAGTGTTGAGCTCTGCTGGTGCAACATTCAGTTTGATGTGTGATGTTTCTTTTTTAACCATTTCATCTCTGTCACGTTCAACGGTTTTATTTGATCTTTTTTCGATGATGTAACGATTTCTCACAGGAATGTGGACGATTCAAATCGATTTGATGATCACGATTAATCGCCACTCGTGCATCTTGTTTCAAAGCGAGGAATCTCGAGGACACACTGACCTTGGTCAAAGTTGAGCTTCTTGCTGTTTGATCCGTCTCCGAGCCCCTCGATGTCCACCAGGTCGCTATTCACGTCCGAATCGTTTAGCGCGCTCAACGTCACGTCCGCCGTCTTCTGTTTCTTTATGGGCGGGGCCATGGAGGGGCTGCTCTGCATGCCTGTTGCCACTACGACCTGCGAGGTTGGCCCAGCGATCATTGCCGGGGTAGCCGGGGGCGGAGCCGTTGTCATGGAGACGGAGGTTTTCTTGACCGTCTTCTTTGGGGACTCAGAGATGGGGACTCTGCTGTCCTCGTACAGCTTCCTCTTCACCGTGCTCTTTATCTGAGCGCTGCAGGCGGAAACACAGAGACGTTAGCTTAGCTTAGCATAATGCCTGGAAACAGAGGGAAACAGCTAGCATGGGCAAAGCTAACAAAATCCTGAGTTCATTTGAAGGCCACACAACAATTTACCGTTTGACAGTTTTTGTTCAGGACCAGTTACTGTGTGGAGTCTTTGCTTGTTGCCTAGCAACTGATCCCAGCCAATAAAAAGGTCGGAAGTGAAATCAGTGAGAACTTCTGACAACATTAAAACCTAAATGTTAAATATTCGACCGGACGTTTTGGGTTAGAAAAGATAATAAATGTTTAAGAGGACATCAGATGAAACACGGTCAGCAGACATGTTGAAGACAGCTGTGGTCTTTGTTCTTGGAGGTTTGTAGGAGTAAAAATAAAAAACATCTTAAACATGAAAACACATAGAGACATGTTTTGAAAGGAGCTGAACCCGAGGCAAGGACGTACACAGTTCTCTCTTTGATCACCGTGCTGATGTTGTTCAGGTCGTCTCCAAAGCGACGCACCGCTAAACGCAGCATCTCGATCTCCGTCTCTGTCCACTTCGCTCTGAGGACACACACACACACACACACACACACACACACACACACACACACGATAAGACCTTCCTTAGTTTAAGATTTCATCACAATAAATTCAACAATTAAAACCGAAGTAAGGCCCCGTGTCCACCTGGCTGTGAGCTCCGGAGAGGACAAAAGCCCTGCATGTCTGTCCTTGTTGACGATGGTCGCTGTATGACCGACACTGCTCCGATGTTGTTTACTGTATGTTTACATTTTGTGGAAAAAAAATTCCCGACAAGACGCGGAGCGAGGAGGATGTGAGTACAAGAATGAGTTATGTCCAGAGAGCAGTAAAGACTCTGAAGCCCTTTAAACACCTGCACTCCTGAAAATATCCAAATAATGTCAGAGGACTGCTCCGTGTGTGTGTGTGTGTGTGTGTGTGTGTGTGTGTGTGTGTGTGTGTGTCTCACCCTGCAGGGCTGGAGTCGGACACCGGGTGCAGCTGCATGGTCAGCTCTCCCAGTTTAGTGAAAGCAGCTCCGGCTGCAGAGAAAATCTCGCCCACCTGCAGAGAACGGGAGAGAGAGAGTGAAGGTTAGGATTAAAAGAGCCAACAGGAACCTCACAGCTGAGTGATGTTTTTAAATAACATAATCAGTGTCTGTTCGTCCAGGGGTTGGAAACAGTCTGAAACTTATTTTAAACATGAGGCCACTGATGCTTCACGAGAATGTACGATCATTACTCTTGTTGTAATATCATTATTGATTCTATTGAATTAGATTATTCTAAATTAATATAATTATTTGTCATGATATGCTTTGGCAATATTGTCACATTCAGGCCAATCAAGCTGATTGAATAGATTTTAACTACATACCGATTCTATAAATAGACTGAACTGATGCAGAATACAACAATGTAAAACAGTTTTCTGTAAAGATGAGAGTAGGACACTGGATGAGGAGTTAAATGATGTTTTCTGAATGAGGTTCTGCGTGCAGCTCTCTGCTCGCTTGTTCTCTCCTAGGTGACTCTTCTGTTTCCCAGGTGACTTACCTTTGCAGAGGCTGACGTCATCTCGGTGTAGAAGTCGAGTTTATCTTCTTTCAACTTCCTCTTCGATCAAAACAACAAAACGAAAACACACGAAGCTAGCTGCTAGCTACAGTTAGCTGCTAGCTAAAGTTAGCTCCTTGTAGCTCGGTGTCGTTAGCGGGAGATTTCAAACAAACAAAAACGAAACTTTAGGATATTAACGTCCGAATAGGCACTTTAAATCAACGCGGAATACATTTTAGTTACATATTTAATAAAATATATACAAATATTGGACAACAAAGGCAGACGGAATAAAGGAAATGTTGCGCTACTTTGAGACTTCAACGCCATTGGTCAGTCTCACAGGAAAGGGCGGGGCGTGTCATTCTGAACGTTTGATTGGCCGCTGCTCTGCGTGGCACGACAGTTACCGAATTTTGTCGACTGAAGCCGAGTGATGAGGATCAGCTGACTGCGGGGCTCTGTCGTCCTTCGATGGAACATTTCTCGGTTTGTTGAATCCAAATAAAATAAACTCTCTGATTAATCGATCACACCGCGGACAACGACATGCCGTCGCTTCTGTTCTGCGGGCCGAAGATGGCCGCGTGCGGGATCGTGATCAGCATCTGGGGAGTCATAATGCTGGTAAGACATATGGCAGCGGGTGTGGGCTATTTCCTGGAATCATGATGTTTTAGCTGGAGAACCATTCACCTGGACTATCACGGTTTAACGATAAACCAAATATGTCTGCTCGACTTAAAGCTGATTCAATTGAATTCAGGTGTTTGCCATCACGAGCCCTCAGTATTAATCATAAAGTCTGTTTCAGTAACTAGACGGAGACCAAGCAGGCCCAGCTTAACCTACAGGCTTTATAATGTTACTGCTCTGCTAATCAACACATAGCTGAATATCTGGTGCCTGTGTTAAGATTAAGAGTATCGCGATTCTTCGATTCTAGTTCAAATCGATCAATATTGAAACCTCTTTAGAAACCATGGCAACAAAAAGTCATAGATCATTATTTGGTATTTCTTTGAATAACTTAACATTGCAGGTAAACTTGCGTACTGTCTGAATTGTGCAAACACATTTGCAACTTGTTGATCGCTAATTTAATTGAGGAACTGTGAAAAGGACTCGTGCTTTCTATTTTTATCCTTATGTGATTTTAAGGAAGTCAGATTTTCCAACGACAGCTGTGTTAGTCAGAAAAACTGAAACATCACACAAAGAATCTTTTATCTAATTTCTAAGGTTGCGTTTACACGACGACGATCTCGGATAAATCAGGGTCAATTTTATTTTTTTCTAAAAAAACACCTGCATTCTGACAACAATGTTTTAATGAGAACCGCCCTGCACATCGATCAACAAAAACAACCATTAACACTGTGGTACACATGCAAGGCCAGTAGTTGGCAGTGTGTCTTTCTAATGAAACAACACGTGAATGTAATACTCTTCCTCCTTCAGCACGGTGAGGGGTAAACACACAAACATGACTAACACACAAATGTTTGTGTGAACGGATGATGAGGTCAGGTTGTTACTCAGAGTGACCCTGAACTACAGAGAGTCAAATCAAGAAAACGCTGCTTTGGTGGAGACACCGCTACTGGGCCTGGGCGATAAAATGATAACGATATCGACTGATATTACATTTTCTATCGTGATTGTCATAAAAGTTTATGACATATCGCTCAGGCTTAGCCGCTACAAAAGCGCAGCGCCTAGCAGTTGATTGAAAAATGTCTTCAGCTGATATATCAATAATTAAAATCTGCTGTGTTCATCAGAGATCAGTCTGATGATTTATGTGAAACATTTTGAAAGGGTTTGTTTGAATCGCCTTCAGATGTTTCTGATGAATGTTTCTCAATGTATGTATGAGGCGGGTAACCGTCTGCTCGGATGGATTTGACCACAGTATGAATCCAGTGTTTCCCCATTGTGCATCTAGCAGCGGAGGTGCACAGCTGCTGAAATATGACCTCCGCTGCTGGGCTCCAGTTTATGTCCCTAGAAACTAACATTATTACTAATTTGTGCTTCTGACTCGAATTTTTAAATAAATTATTCATTTTCTTTGGTAAATTTCTGACTCCCGGCTCTGTTAATAACTCTTATTAAAAAAATTGCACGCAACATTAACTTTGTTCTACTTCACCTCCGCTGCTACAACTCCAACCTAGGGGAAACACTGGAATCTAATTAATGATTTAAACTGTTAGTGACATTTCAGCTGTGTGTCCTCCGCTCTGTCCCCAAGCCTCATGATGAGCCTCTCTGTTCTTGCAGGCGATGCTGGGAATCTTCTTCAGCGCCAAGTCGGCCGTGTTGATCGAGGACGTCCCGTTCACCGAGGAGGACATTCGTGGAGAGTGAGTCGTTTAATCCATCTGATATTCATCTTCTAAACAAATGAAACCAACAAAGAGTTTCAAGTTCAATCTCTGTTTTAGATTGAGCTTTGTATCCTGGGAAGTTAGGAAGCTGAACATGAATTATGCTGACTTCTTAATACGTGATGATGACTAAAGTCCAATCCGTTTTAATATCTGCGTCTCTGTTGTCAAACTCAACATGTGAAGCTGACTTTGAGGATATTATGAACAAACGTCCTCATCGTTCTAACTCAGCAGATTTAATTTGACTGAATTTGACCCGAAACAAATGGAGAAGAGAGCCTCCGGATGATGACGGAGCGAATAATGAATGTGTGCTGCGTACAGGATGTGTTACTGCGACCGCACCGCTTCGTCCTGTGACATCACAAACGTTAAAGTTCAGATTCAAAAAGTTTCCATAAACGTCTCCCTGCAGCCGAGGATCAGAGAACGCTCCCAGGTAACCATTCATAAAACGAGGGTACTGACTAGTTATGAGTGTAGAGTCGCTCGAGCTGTGCATCTTCACTGGTCTCACGATTAGATTTGAATCGATTACGATTATCCAGTCAACGATTCGATTCGATATCACGATTCATCCTCAATTTTCTATATTACTGCACATGGCTACTTTTTCATAAACAGTGACAAACAGTCTTATAAATATGAACTCCTTTTGTATAATTTATAAAGTGATTTAGACAACAATGTCATTATCAATATCTTTAAATTGTAGGTTAAAATTAATACATTGTAGAGGTAGCCTACAGTATAGGTAACAATAATACGTTTTTGTGTGTTTAGTTTATTAGAGCAGAGAAAGATGTTTTTAAGTCACTGTGTGTAACTGTGGGACTTAAGACAGCGAGGCATCAGTTTAAACACAACTTCAGCTGTCATGACAATGCTATCCCGTGCTGCGGTCAGCTAAAGAGACACCGAGTCAAGCCGTTTCAGCCTGCAGCGGAGCACTGTGGTCTGAGCCTGCAGGACCAGCTGACTCTGCTCATAAAGTCAGCAAGCACAGGAGTGGGACTCAATTTACGTTGTTTTCTGTCACAAATCCCTCTGTTAGCCTACGTTACTTTCATTACACACCGCCGTGTGTGTTTAGGTAAAACAAACTCACTCAACGCTGCGCAAAACAACCGCATTTAGCGGTTGGCAGATGCTTTTTTCTAACCCTTGTCAGCATCGATTGCGTCCTGTCCCTGCATCGATGCATTAATCTTCTAGTCTGCATCGCGATGCATCGATTAAATGATTGATTTCAACAGCCCTAAGAGGCGGTTACCATGGTGATAGCTAGGTTAAAAGAGAGCCAGCTTCGTGACACTCAGACTTTAGGCTCAACAGACCGGGATTACCCTCTGACCTCACTTTGTCGTACTCCACAAGAAAAAAGAGGTCACGTTTACAAAAATGTCTAATAGTTGGTAAAAAATGAAAAGTCTCAGAACTTAAAATCCGCCTGCAGGTGGCGTCGCAGGAACTCATCTCTTCTTCTTCTCCGCAGTAAAAATCCTCCTCAGAACATCTACAGTCTCTACAACCAGGTCGGCATCAACTGCTTCATCGCCGCCGCCATCTACGTGGCTGTGGGCGCCGTGTCGCTCTGCCAGGTGCGGCTGAACAAACGTCAGGAGTACATGGTCACATAAACGACCCGACGTCGCCAGCCGCTGGAGGTCACTTCCTGTCCACGTTCCATGTCACATTACTTCCTTTAAAGCGGACCAATCAGCAGCTGGAGAGTGTTTTAAATGTTGGATGTGGTCAAAGGGTCGGCCGATATCAGAATTATTTATTTTAAAGTTCAAACCCTTCAATGTCTTTGTTGTTGTTCTGATGTTTGTTGTTGTTGTTTGCTGAAATGTGACATAATTCCTTTGAGCAGGTTATCCACGAAAGCAGCCGAGCGCTGAGATTTAAATTAACAAACAGAAAATAAGAAATCAATCAATCGAGCAAACGTCAGATTCTGAGTCAGGATTCACCTTGATGAAGTTTTCTGGAGACAACTCCTTCAGTCTGTTTCATCTCTGATCTTTATCTTCTGCTCAAACAAACACGCTAAGACGTCAGTTTCACATCGAAGCTCCTCCTCTGATTGATGTGAAGGTGAAATGTGTTCAGGCTGTTTGTGATACTACTGTGGATAAAAGTGCAAAACTATGACTGTGGATAACCTTTGCAATAAAGTCAAAAGTGTGTGTGAAAACATCATTGTCTTCATCTGTTTAAAATCAGGAGAATATTAAATGACAAAACACCATGCTGCACATTCAAACTATTAGTACACATTAAATAGGGTTACATTTGATTTGAAATTGGTGGCAAACCAATAGGTGTTGCAGTGATAGAAGCAGGCAAGAGAAGTGGTTCAGATAGAAGTGATTGTACCCGACCTAAAAAGCCTCTGCATGTTTCTAATAAGCTCCACGAGCAGAAACGTGCTCAAACTAGGATCAATATTGGAGATGATTTTGAAAAATGGAGAGAGGTTAGAACACAGAAAGGTTTACAGACCGATGCAGAGCTGGATAAACACTGAAGCTTCAGTGACCACCACATGGCATTGACTCTAGAGAAGAGGGAGCGGGGGGAGACAGCTCTCTACAATGTTTAGAATTTAGACTGCAGTACCCATTTTAAACACTAGGTGTCAGAGTTACATACTGCTCCTTTAAAGATTGAAATAGGAGAAACCACTTAGGCATAGTCATCTATGTAAGTATCTCCTCTCATATTACAATTCTCCACCAGCATCGTAAAGAAGCTCCACTGTCATTACGCTTGTAAGACATTCATATTTATTCTACAACGGTGTGTTAATGGTGTCTGTGCATTCACATCGCCTTATGGCAGTGCGGAAGCAAGAGACAGTACGACACAGCAGGAGCTCTACATACACACACAGTTGGACATGTACACACGCACAGCGCTGCGCTCCATGGATGGCTCGGCTGATCCCGTAACGCAGGGGTGTCCGAAGTGCGGCCTTTGAGGGGATTTTTTTTTCTTTTTCATGTTAACAAGGGCTGAACAATATTCCTAAAATAGAAAATGTTCAGTAACATGTATGTTGTTGTTTTTTTTATCTACAACTTTTACTATTTTCCACATTTTTCTGTAAACTATGAAAAAAAACTTAGGCAAGCGGACCGTTGTTTAACCATTTAATGATCTGAGCTAAATGCAGAAAGCTTTTCCAAAAAGATGAACCACGTTACAGGCTTGATTCTGAGAAAAAAAACAAATTAAGTAGAACGAATTATTATTATTATTAATAATTTTTATATTTATATAATAATAATATAATTATTAAAGGTTTCTTTAGTGAGCCTTTTGATTCTGATCTACAAAGTCGTACTATTTTTTCAACTATATTTTAAAAAACAAAACCTGTGGCCCACGAGCGATTCTAAAGCGAAAATTTTGGCCCGCAAGAAAGAAAGTTTGGACACCACTACCGTAATGCCTCTGTGCTTCCGAAGACAGTACAGAGACATCTACATTTATATTGAAGGTGACACGTCACAGGGATGTAAATATTGCTTCCGTAAATGGCAGCCTTAATAGGGCTTGTAATTGCTTTTACCATCATCAAAATTTATATCAGACAACTTTTTGGGATCTTCTACAATTCATTTATCAGACGCTTTTATTCAAAGCAACAAACATCAGAGAGGAAGAACAACACAAGCGAGGAGATAGAGAGGAGGAAACAACGTCAGGAAGTGCAAACAAACAGCTTCAAGTCTGAACGGACACACAGGTGCTGCCAGGAAATTACTGGAGGTAGAGCACAGGTGCTGACAGGAAGTGACCAGAAGCAGAGCACAGCATCGACAGCTATTCCTGAGAGTTCTAATCGGCATCAAAACCATCCTAAATATCATCATCATCCTCATTAAGGTCGTAGGTGTTCATGAAAGAGCTGGGTCTTTAGCTTTTTCTTAAAGGTGCAAAGGGACTCTGCAAATCGAATGGAGTTTGGAAGTTCATTCCACCACCAGGGGGCGACAGAGGAGAAGAGTCTAGTCAGAGACTTAGGACCCTGTTGTGAAGGTTGGATCAGACACCTTTCCTTGGCAGAGCGTAGTGGGTGGGCGGGAGTGTAGACCTGGTTGATAGAGTTTTAACTTTGATGCAAATTTAAATTTGTCCCTTTTTTTTCTGGGAACAAATGGTTTGGAAAAACGAAAAAACAGATATTCATATTTCAATATGGCTGACGCTCAGAGAAACATAGATTTAACTTTTTGCTTGAAAGCCTGGGAGCTAAACATGTACTCGGACACATGTACAGTTCATTTTGAAATTTCCAACGTCAAATGTGTCAGTTTAAAGAATATTAAAGTATTGTGTTGTTTTATTTATGAGCTTGGTTTATTTATTCTTTTTCACATGGTGGTGTTATAATCTCACCTGGGGGTGGACAGATGACAGCAAAAATCAAAACAAACGTACCATGATTATTTCTTTATAAGTTTTAAATGTCCTCAAAGACTTTCAGTTGTTACAGATCACAGTAACATGAGATCTGAGCCCCTCCTCCCTCTCTGACACTAAACAAGAACACACCATAAATCACACACTGGCCGTATCCGAATTGCCAAGTATCTACCTAATATTATTATTATCTATCTAATATTTACAGTCTATGGTATCTACTCAATCTGTCAGTAGTCAGTACCTACTATCCGTGCTGCATACTGTTAGTATCTACTATTCAGTATACACACACAGTAGGCAGATATTTGTTCCTACTTCATCTGATTCATTCAGTAAGGAAGTGACGTCATTTACGTTTCCCGAACCGGCCGCATTCACCCGTTTTATTTTATTTTTTTTGTTTAGCTTTATTCAAGAAGAGTAATGCTCATATACAGTCAGGTAAACAAAACAATATCACAATGTAAATCAAGTTAAAGGCAGATTAAATAACTAAATAACATACAGTACATAAAGGAAAGTACAAATGAAAGACAGTAATATACAGAATATAAAATAAACCAATAAAGACGCATTTAAATAGTGAAATCATTATTTAAATAGAGGGGGAAAGGTTTTATAATAATGCAGATATTTGTTATATTTTCTGTTGTTAATTAAAAGTAGTGATTTCAGTCGGGACTTTAACTCTAGATTAATAAATGATTAAATTAATCCACGCTCGTTTGTTTTGATTTGGAGAAGTGAGTGACGATGTTCGTTTAATTTCACACAGCATTGTGGGAGGGAGTTAAAATACAATTCATTTCCTGAAAGCACGCATCCGATCCATACTGCATAAAACCCGGAAGTTAGTAATATCCATACTGAAATGTTCAGTATACTGAGGTGGACCCAAAAAAGCATACTGAATGACCACGAGAGTTCAGTATACTGAAACTCCATACTGAATAGTACGTACTGCCTACTGAACTGTGACAAGTCGGAAAGGGCGAGGGATTCAGACTACTGTTTTCCCGCCTCTGGGGGAACCGGAGATCTGGACAGAAAGGTGATTAAAGAAAAGGAGAAAGAGGAAGAAAACTAAAAAAGTTTTCTATTCTCATGTTTCAGTAAACTTTATTTAATTGTATATTTTATTTAGTTTAGGTGAATGTTAAAGCATGTTCTCTTGTCTCTTTATGTGTCAGAGATGTCGGTTATTTGTCAAAAGGGCTGGAAAAAAGCCTTGACCTCCATCTTGGAGGAGCTGGACCCAACACAGTACACCAAGTTTATGGAACATTTGGACAAAATCCCCCGTAGTAAGAAAACTGACGACTTTACAGTGAAGATGCCTGGGATAATTATCGAGCACTACGGGCTGGAAGAGTCTGTTTATGTAATTGATGAAGCAATCAATGATATACCAAGAAAGGACCCTAGAGTCCAGGACCTGCTGCGCCCCTTTCTGGACAAGCTGGGGGAGCAACATGATGAAGAAAACAAAGGTGAGTTTATTTTTAAAGCTTGATAACTGCTGGCTGAGAATTCTTGGACACGTGATATACTTCTTATTGGATCAGCAGTGAAGTTATCAAATTATCAAATGTTTAAATTCAAAAATATTTAAATGTCAGAGAAAAGCTAATGACCAAAGAAATACAAGTGTTCCCTTTGAAATCCACTTGAAATTATTGAAGGCTTGAGTGTGTGGCAGCAAAATAAATTTCACTTTGTCTAAAGCCGTTTTCACATCTGCACTCCTGAAAGTATCTGGATAATTCAGGAGGACTGCTCCTAAAACTTGAGGAGTACCGGACACATTGGTGACCAGACACCAGCAGTAGCTTACTCTTAAAAGTACAGTGTGTCTGCCTTCCGGACCCTGACTAGAAAAAGGGACCTGATAACTGAGGGCTCTACCTCCCATAGCACATTTAGAGACCGTAGGTACCACGAGCAGCCTGATAACTGAGGGCTCTTCCTCCCATAGTACATTTAGAGACCGTAGGTACCACAAGCGTAATGGCCGCGTAATGTTCTCGAAGGGTAGTACGGCACTATTTGCTCTTTAAGATAAGATGGTGCCTGACCATGTAGAGCTTTGTAAGTGAGAAGAAGGATTTTACAATCTAGATTTTATAGGGAGCCAGTGCAGAGAAGCCAAAACAGGAGTAGTGTGGTCCCTTTTCCTAAGTCTAGTCAGTACACGAGCTGCAGCATTTGGACTAGTTGAAGAGTTTTAGAGACTTACTAGGTCACCCTGATAAAAGAGGAATACAATAATCAAACCTGGAGGATGCTTGAGCTAGTTTTTTTTTTTTGCATCGTTTTGCGACAGGACATGCTAGATTTTTTGAGATTTTACGAAGTTGAAAATAGGCTGTCCTTGACATTTGTGTAATGCTGGAGTTGAAGGATGTATCTGGACCAAGTAGAACTCCTAGATTCCTAATGATGGTACTGGCCAGGCTGAAGCCATCTTGGATAGTTATATAATTAGAAAATGTCTCTCTAAAGTGTTTGGGGCCAAACACAATAACCTTATGTCCTTAAGGAGTGTGTTTGTTTCCTCTAGCCTTATTGATTGATAATTGAGTATCATCTGCATAACAATGAACATTTAAGGATTGTCTCCTCGTATTACCTGTTTAAACTTGTCGTTTCAACTTTTTTTTCGTCAGGAACGAAGAGGAAACATGATGAAGTTGATGAGGAAAAAGAGCCTGCTGCGGGTCAGTTATTAAATCACTGTGGTCTACCGATGTATTTTTTTTAATCAA